ATGTGTTTTATGCAGCAGGTTAGTGAGAGATTAGATGCTTCGCTTTGTTTTCTCAGATACTATGTTGTACTACATCTGTATCAGCCCGCAGGCCCATGGGAGCCCCTGCTGGTCAACACAACCACTGTTTGAAACAAGCAGATTCAAGAGGCTCTCCCTAAGGCCAAGGAAAATGGATATTGATCTGGAGCCATGACTAAATGGATTAAATTACAGAGTAGTGTTGGTAGCAGGGCAGCAGAGAGAACGAGGCGAGAGGGAGGAAGAGGGAATAGAAAGGAGGGAGAGACAAAACGAAAGGAGAAAATTAGTCCTTCCTTACAGACTCCTTTCTTTTTCTCTGATTCCTTTCATCAATAGCCCACCCAGCAGCCCTGTGCAATCATACCATACTCTCAAGCATCATCCTGGTCTTTATGCAGTTATGAGCCAACTAGCTTTAGAGAAATCGGCAGTCTGGGGATTAACACTTTCCATTCAACCAAGGCTGTTGAGTGGTAGGAATGCCAACTGCACGCTGGGAGAAAAATAACATGCATCATCATGAATACAGAACCCAAACAATGCTTCAGGGAGCGTAAATCTGGGAGGATTGGGTTGGCTGTCGGCCGCAGTCAAACCTGTGAATCAATCTTCGTGGCCTTGCTGATGGACCCGGGGGCTGCAGAGGATCGCTCTCTAAGTGCCTCTCCAGTGAGGCCTGAGAGTTGATATTCAAGGTTCACTTGTATGACAGGAATATCAAAGAGGTGAGTGTGAACTGCACTGTAAAAATGCAAACGTGAAGTTCATTCCAATTTTAAATCTGGAAATTTAGGCAATTTGTGAAAGTTGGCACACTAAATCAGTAGTTCCTCACTGTTGACTGACAGCAAGAACTTCCTGGTTAAAGTATTTTTACATTTTCATATAAACACTGACACAAGCTTTGTTTGCCATAATCTTTCCTCCTGTTCATTCTAACCATTCCAAACAAGTGATAGAGGACAAAATCATCTGCAGATGAGGCTTAACTAACAAATCAAATGGGCAGAGAGATAGTTACACAAAGAGGGAATTTAAAAACAACCCTTGTTGACCAAAGTGCTGGACAGACCAGAGCAGGTAGAGGAAACCATAATCAAGAGAAACACAATTAAAAAGAAATACAGACATTAAAAAAATCTATTCCTACAGCACATATGTACAGATAAACAAACATATAGGCACCAGACAGAAAAACAATCACCCACATCAGGAGGATTCAAACACTAGAGAATAAAAGTAGGTTTTGAGTCTGGACCTAAAAGAGTCAATGGAGAGGGAAGGTCTGATCTGAGGGGGGATGCTGTTCAACAGGGTCAGCAACAGCAAAGGCGTGATCACCCTTGAGCTTGAGTTTGGGTCAGCCAGGAGCCAGGACCTGAATGTAGAATAAGGGGTTAGGAGGTCTGCAATATAGGGAGTAGGGGGCCAGTCCATGAAGGGATTTATAGACAAACAGGATAACCTTAAAATCAGTTCTGAATCGTACTGGCAGCCAGTAGAGAAAGGTCAGTAAGATGGTCCCTCTAACGAGTACCTGTCAGGAGCCTGGCTGCAGCGTTCTGGACCAGCTGCAGGCGGGACAGGGATGATTGAGTAATTCAAGTGTACAGGGAGTTGCAGTAGTCCAGGTGGGAGGATATAAAGGTGTGGATGACTTTCTAGAGATCTTTGAAAATATAAAAAATGGCTACATTTTCAGCAATAGTGCAACGTTTTAGGTATACACTGCTCATTCTAAGGTAACAGGAACACCACAAATCTTATATTCAGGTGATTATACACTAATGAAAACATACCTATGAAATATTATATTCCATTTCTGCCAATAATCCTCCTCAATGTTACACACTGGACCTTGAAGACTGAAATTTATCAGGACTCACTTGCTTTTAGACGAGCTCGGTTTGTTGGCCCAACTTCAGTTTTTTTTTTTTTAAATGCAGCTGAAAGTTTTATTATATAAGCCTTAACAGCTTGTGATCCTCATTTACACTAGAATATGATTAAGTGTTTTTACAGTATAGCTAATAGCAATATGAAGGGATTGTTCCCAAAAGGTCACCTCCCCCGCTATTGTTGAAAATATACCGTTTTTTCTCATCTAACATTCAAAGTATCTGATCAGGCATGGTTCATGAGAAGTTATTATAATACATATTTAGCATGATCAAGGCTTATTGCCTCAACTCCTGAGCTCTAATCATAAACACTTTTCCCCACTCCACTTCATTCCCTTCAGGGCAAAGCTCCACTTCATGGACTAGATTGAATATTCATAAAGACTCCGATTGCAGATGACACACGGGCATCCAACTATGCTCGACATATGCATAAAATGTGCATTAACATGGTTTTATTCCTGTCTCACTGATGTGGAGAGTGGATGTTTATAGGACACTTAATGGAATCCATGCCTCAGAGTGGCCATCAGATTGCATGTAATCTACCAAAGTCCCTTTGAAGATCACAATTTACAGCATGCATGACTGACAGCTATCAAAAGTTATCTGATGTGGTGCACAGAGCTATAGTAGCTGTTACGGTGCTTATCCCTCCAGTCTGCAAGTATAGAAATTGGCAAACACAGCGTGAAGCATATGGCTATTGCCCCTAACAAATTTGTTTCTTTTTTATAGGTGGCCTAGAAATTTCCTAAACCATAAAGCCACAGAAATTTCCTCTGGGAGTGTGAGATACAAAGACATTTGACAGTCCATGGAAGCACATAATCAGTCATTGCACATCATTCCAGTGTCTTGGTCCTAATTGCAAATCATTATAACTCTCTAGCTCCATCTGTTGGGGCATTTTCATAATTATAGACAGATGTTTGTGATTGTGGATCCAGGAGTCACACTCGAGCTAGAGGAGAGTTCTTGCAAGGCATCGTAGACACAAATGTCAGCTGAGATAATGATTCACTAGCAGCCACAGATTCTTATGTAAGAGCTGTAATTCTTCAAACATGCTCGACTGAATAAACTAATGAGGGCTGGGTCAGCTTTCTCATTTGTATACTGAAACAATATATTACACATCTGTCTGTTTTCTTCATCTGCTTGGTAGTATTCAGGGACTCAAGAGGGCGATGCTTATCCCACAATGGCAGTGGAGAGGACGCAGCGTTCACCCTGATCAGGTCACCAGTCTATCACAGGGCTGAGGCACTTGACGAACACATTCACACCTTCAGGCAGAGAGAACATGTCAAATTCACTCAGGAAAAGCCCAGGTGGCTGGGAAGGGTTCAGATCAAGGACCTTTTTGCTGTCAAGGAGCAATGCAAACTTCAAGTGCTTCATTCATGTTTGGCAACTTTTTTAAATGCCAGGGAAAAAATAAAGGGCCTAATGTTTAAGTTTGTTTTTTATCCAATATGTGAATAGATGAAACAAAAATTCAGGCTAAATAGACAATTCTGCAGACAATATGTTAATGTTTTTTATTTGTTTTGATCAAGATTCAACTTATTTTCTTTCTTGGAGCAAAACCAAAACATTTCTTTTGAGTGGCCTTTTGGCAAGTTTAAGATAAAAATATTTTTAACTAGTGCTGCAACAATTAATCAACTGACAAAACAAATAATCAGCACCTATTTTAATAATTGAATAATCCTTTTAGTCCCTTTTAGACAAAGATGCAAAAACCTGGTTGTTCTAGCCTCTCAAATGTGAGAACCTCCTTTGTCATGCAGGATAATAAACTGAATTAGTTGGAAGACATTTGAAGGCATCATCTTGGGCTGTAGGAAATTCATTAATGAATATTAAAGGCATTTTAAACTATTGTTAAAATCAGCAGATTCATTACTAATTAAAAGAATCCTTAGTCGCAGCCCTATTTTGAACATATTGCATACTTTGTCAGCAGCTCAAAAACTGCAGAGCTGCCAACTAGAAGATTTAATTTCCAAAACTCAGCTGTTAAATCTTAACAGGATCCACAAATCAACGTGTCAGCAGATACATACTGATATAATATTACCATATAAAGTTGATATACCGAACCTGAAAGCCCACAATTACCTTAAACATCCAGGAAATATGAAGCGAAATTAGCATTAAACTGAGTCATGTTCTGGCCACCCGATGAATGAGAGTCCTATTCATCTCCTGAGGTAAACAGCTCTTTAGCCGATAAATACTCCACCATGTTCACCAACTAGTCCCTCACTTTGTCTGTTTGGTGCTGAACTGGTAGTGTGAAGTGGAGTTTTTGGAACTTTTTCACTAAAAACAGCGTTAAGTGTCAGGAAACGATGCAGATGAGAGCACAGAGTGAACTAAAACAATGCTGAACTGACGTTGAAATGCTCCGTAGAGTTGTGTCATTATGTGTGGGTTTATCACTACTTTGTCATGTATATGCTAATGTTTAAATAATTTAAAGCTGCTTTAGGTGACGTTACTAAGGTCAGCAGATTAGCAGTGTTAAACTATGTTACCGTTTCCCCATTGTAAAAGAAAATAGTGAAATTCTGCAGACTCTCTAAACTAGAAAAAAAAAAATGGCCTCTGATTATTGCTCTTCTCTGGACTGTTGGACAATATAGACTGTGCTTGATTGACATCTCCATCTCCTGTTATCAGACCTTTCTCACAGCAGCCATTTTGACGTGAAAAAGTAGGCTAAACAAAGACGTTACCAACGGCACTAATTAAGGTTCTATTTAGTGAAGCAGAGCCTTTCCAGTTTCTAACAGGCACGAAAGCAACAGCCTGACTGTTTGACCTGAATGGGACAGAACCAAATTCATATAATTGGTAACACACGTGTTTACACTATTTCATGTCATCATGGCTGCTGCGAAAAAAGCCTGTAGGACAACTTACCCTGCTATCATTCTTATCGGCACATCACATAATTCAAAGGATAGGTCCAAAGAGCCTCAACCTAACTAGAGGTTGAATCAGCCATAGTATTTGAAAAGACCCGTGTGAGTGCAGGAATATGAACCACAATCTAAAACAAACCAGCTTGAAATCACTGTTTTATTTATCAAAGCAATGCAATGAAATACAACAAAACATGTAAAACCTAGAACAAAGCAAAAAACATAGTAACAAATATTGTCAAATCAAAAACGCTCTTTAAATGCGCGTTAAACAGCTTGTCAAAGTGAGACCAGATATTTCAACACAAGAGAGGATGTTTAATCAAAAAACAAAAAAGTCTTTAAAAGGATCTAAAAAATGAATTCTTACGGAGGTGAGGATTAGTAATAAATACTACGTTCCCGGCAGAAAACAAAGTAATTGTTCAAAAATGACATAATCGGGGACTTCGGCTTCAAGGTTCGAAGAGATTGAACATCTGAGATATTTAAAAAGTGGCGTTGATAAATCCAGGCGTTAAACCAAGTGTCCTCACTAGACAGTGTCTGTTCGTGGCAGCAACAAAGAACGGAGAGAATCCACTCGCTCTTATCTGTCTGGTCGCATCATGCCCGGCCTGACTGGCATCATCATCGGTCGAGGGTGACGCATCATGTGTGGCGGTCCTGGCATCATCTGCATGGGTCCTCCCATCGGCGGCCTCATGCCTCCTAAATGTCACAACGAAGGGGATACGCAGCTTTAGGTGGTGATTTATGACAACGGCTTTACGTAAAGAATCACGTAAGTGCATTAAGACTCATTCAGAATAACTTTGTTAAGATCCTACTCTTTGAATCGGATATTAAATGTGATTTAGCTTTGAAATATATTTCTCTTTTCTCTGTGCAAACTCAGCCTACAGTACATTAGAAACCCTGTGTGTGGCCAACAGTCTGCTCTCTATATTGTGAGCCAATGGCTGACTTGAATTGCTGAAAACTTGTCTGATGTGAGGTGATGGCAAAAGCTTCTTTCTTGTCTGAAATATCTTGAACTGCCAAACACATTCAGTCTCTGCAAACACTTCAAAATCCTTCCAGTTCTTTTTAAGAAGTCATTATCCGGCAGTACAGCAGAGCTCTTCTTCACAAACAGTCATAATTTACCGGCTGCTGTAGATATAGTACAGACACATTTGGCCCCGGTTTCATTCCCCCTTGTTTAATGATGCAGGGTTCATGATGAAGTGTCTCAGGTTCATTACAGGAAAGTATTCTGCACGTTAGCTCACGCTTTGAGTGTGCTTGCTCTTCTCACTACAGCCAATTTTTCACCACTGTTTACTAAAGTACCTCCTCTCACCGTAACAGCTCAAATCAAGTAGAATTTATTGTTTTACAAAAAAAAAAAAAAACTCTTTCCTATTAAAGCCTAGCCCATTAGAGTGTTTGTTAAAATAGCATTGTTGTAATGTATTTATCAACCACAACAACAAATGTAAATTTGATCATTAATAAGCTGTAGATGATGATCGATAGATGTATATATGATGAGATATGACCATCTACAGCATTTCCACAAGGCTTTTGAGAGAGTTCCACTCGCGGCTCTGGAAAAAAATTTACTTGACACCAAAGAGATCGCTGCAAGCTCGTTTTGCATTGCTCCTGGTGTGAACAGCTAGACTGACTGACGCAGGAGCCGAAATGAAAAGGGAGCCTTTATCTTTTCTGCATCTGGTAAACCCCGTTTGAAGTTTAAAACCACGCAGCTTGACTGTCAAACAAAACAACAGAGGTAGGTGATATGACTGAGGGGCTAAATCACAATTAAACATTTCCAAGAAAACAGATTATTTCCAGGATATTATATTAGTTTCTATTAGTGAAGGACTAGTCTCTAAATGTCCAGGTTTTCCATGAAATGAGGTATCCCTGTTGATGTCATGTTAAACAAATCAGAAAGAAGTGAAGCTTTGTTAAAGAAACATGTTCCTTACCAGGTCCACCAGGCATCATCCCGTGTGGTGGCGGCCCCATCATGGGCATCATAGGTGGACCTCCCATAGGGGGTGTCGGCAGCATGCCTGGGCGAGGAGGACCGCCTGTAAAATAAGCACCAAACGTCAGCGTACAGTCGACGTGAAGACAACGTTTACAGTAACTTCCGGGTAGAAAACCTCTGTGTAGCCTCAGACAAACGGGTGGATGCAAATCTTGACAGCTGATAAAACACACATCTGCCTAATAATATACCCACACAGCAACCTAACTTCTACAGATCACTTCACCACAGGGTCTATGTTATGGTTAGCTCAGCAAAATCCTGCAGAGCTGAAAGACGACACTCACCTGGGGGAGGACCACCCGGGAACGGCGTGGGAGGAATCTTCCCCTGTTGAAAGGCAGCCGCTGTTGGGAGAAAAGACGAAACATTAACACACACACACAAACGAGCACACGAATGTTCAGTGCGCCGTGTTGTCATTGCATTCACTCTTTATGTGGAGGGCAAACAAGAACACCACAAAGTGCACTGTGTGGGGTATTTCGAACATTTCTGCACTGTGCCGCAACATTAAAAAACAAACAAAACTAAGCTTAAGGACGTGTAGCCTACTCTCTTTTTGTTGCAAAGGAGAATTGAGTCTGTAACACGACTTCCTCCACAGTGGACAATACTACGCTCTAGCATCAAACTGGCTTTGCATCTCTTATGTGGATTAGTGGTTTGTAATCTTAGAGGGGGCCCCCGCCAAGTAAGCTGGTGTACATAGCGCACTATTTTAGCAAAGGGTTTGGATATCCCACACATGTGCGTATGAGCACGCCTTGTGTGAGATTCATAACAGGCTTTACTCAAACACTTACTTTATTGTCTTCGTCTAACCAGGATGTTAAATATTGAAAAGAAAACATGCTGTGAATTTAAGTGTGAACAGTTGACTGCACAGCCCCCAAACAATACATCATCAGTGATATATTACTGCCACTAGAGGTCACTTTCGTATTTAAGCTTAACTCTCTGAAGACATGAGCGGTAACCCAAAGGATGGATCATTTTAAAGCCACATTCAAGACACTAACACCCCCCAATGACTCGGTGTTGTACACTATGAAAACTCTCAGTCATCCAGGTAATAGGATATTGAGAACGTCAGCTGTCCTGGAGAACAGAAAGGTCGCCTTTTGAATCAGCGGCAAAATGGCTTAAAGAATTATGAGTGTTTGCTTTGTGCTTCCAGATTCACTCAGCCATGTTTTCGAGACACTTACTCGTTTTATCGATCAGACTCTGAGCCTGCTCCTCCATCCATTTCTGGTAGTAATCTTTCACATTTTCTTTGTGTTTTCGGCCACTGCAGTGGGTCTTCCTCACTGATGGCTAGTACACAAACAGAACAAATAAAAATAAGTGGATATTTAAACAGGCAGAATACAACAATGAAGGATTCCTTTCAACAATGTGATTTCGTACACAAAACACAACTTACCGAATCATGTGTAAGGTAGGTGTCACAGTAATCACAGTAAAACCTGTGGAAAGAAGAGAAAAATGAGGGTTAGTACAAATAAATCCAGAGCTGTAGACATGACTTGTTGCAAACCTTAGAGCTGGGACTTAAAATAACTTGTTAATGAGCTGTACAGAGCCAGATAGAAACTTCACAAAGCTAAAACATTGTCTTTTAGAGGTTTTACAAGCAGCAAAGTACAAATAACATTTTCTAAACGTATTTGTTTAGCCATCATGCCCATTTTACAAATGATTCCCTTAAATAAATGTTTAAATTGAACTGTGAAGGAGTCCTGTGGGGACTATAGTAACTTATGCACATAATATGCAGATGTTACAAAATGTCCTGCAAGACGATTCACTGTCCAACAGGACGTTTTTTTTTTTTTGAGGTGTCCAATACAAAATGCTCCTTGTTCTGCAGGACATATTTATATAAGTGAAGTCATTTTAACATATTTCACATAGGGTGAAATGATAAATGATAATAAAAAGTCTTATTTTGTCAGTATAATGCTCCTAATTTCGATCAACTTTATTTGCTATTCATTTATTTAATGATGCATTGTTCTGTGCAGTCTCGACGTCCACCTTGGAGGTAAATGATGTGTTAGATGGTGTTTTTTGATCAGTTAACAACAGCATAATCTGCTCTTATCCCTGAAAAACGAGTTCACATAGTAGAAAAACCTCGTTACTGAACCACAAGTCGGATCCGACGTTAAAGTTACCAACTAAAACACCTAAAACAAAAGAACCGCCTGAACGTGGAGCTCCACATGGGTGAGAAACATAGTCCTAAACACACTCAGACTTGTGCACTTTAAGAGATTCGTTGCTTTAATGTTAGTTTCACTGTGTTAGTCTTTTACTGGTCACTGTTACATTCACATCGAGGTTGAGTCCAGAAAGTAGACGCGGCCCAAACAATGCTCGCCGCGTTCGTCTGCAATTAAACGGGTCCGTTTCGGTGGTTTTCACGGTGTTTTTTTAAATTACAGGTCGTTGTTTAATATGAATACAGACGATGATTAAGTTTGCCGACAAGCTGCAATCAGAGAGAAGTGATTAATAGAGAAATATCTGGACTTACTTAGGCATGATCCCCAGCTATCACCGCCGAGAGCGCGATTCCGGTGTTCCAGATAAGTGTTCCGACCAGATGTAAGAGCTACCCACCGATAGTTCCGCCTTAAAGTAAAGGTTCTGTTTGTTCTGTACGCCTTTTATTCTCAATCATTCACAATAATTCATTCAGGAGTAAGCCACGGCAGTAAAAGATATTTGGAAATAAAATATGTTGTTATTATATTGTTAGATATTGCACTATTTGTTGAATTGAGAAGATATATATATTTTTAAACATTTTAGTGCCTGCTATTGATAAATTACCTAATCTAAGTTTTGTTTTTAATTCAAATTAAAGATCTTGATTTTTTTTTTTTGTGGTTTATTTAACACACACACATACACAAAATTACTCACTGCTAAAAAAAAAAGGTGAAGCATATTCCAATACTTCCATATAAAAAAATCTCAATTACATGTAAAACTTTGCAATAATAACTTTACTTTAGTGGAAATACAGGATCAGCAAAATGTAGTCAAAGTAAAACTATGTAAGCATTATTCTTTCCTTACAAGAACATTTACATAGTTAGGCAATATATAATTTATACACTTCATCATTGTGTGTCCACAGATACACATATCATAAACAAAAACACAATACTACTAGTACCTAGTGATTTACTTTCTTTGAAAGTAAAGGCTTATTTTTCAACCAAGCGAGGACAATTGAGATAGAATCAGATTTGTCTTTATAGTAGGACTGAAATTGGTGATTCCAACAGCAACACATGTCCAGTAAAATTGTGAGAAAGAGGTTAAAACACTTTACAAAGGAACTGTGTAGTTTTGTTGAATTTTTACTACAAATATGTTTAGGAGATTTTAGGAAGACAGTGAAGTGAAATGCTTCAGATTCAACCTTTTTGGCATGAAGACTCTAAAAATGTTATTATGTTGGCAATTTGAAATGTCGTATTTCATATATACAGCTTTAAAAAATGTGTTCTAATAATTCAATATGAGCATTACAAATATTACGACACATCTGCCTAAACCATCTGCCACTGAGCTGCAGAATAAGCAGCTTGGATTTCATTGATAAACTAAATGATTTTTATTTGAATCCTGGGATTACAGCTGTGACTTGGTAATGCATTAGCTCAGTGGTGTAGTGCTACCTCTATATAGGATACAGGCCCTGCGTTATAAACAGTGACTACTCTTGCATATTTAACAAAAAAGGGCCAGTAGTATTTGCACAGTCTGCTGCTTGACTTCAGGCAGTAAGGATAGTTATTAAATCAGCCACAGAAGAATCAATACTAGTCCACAGAAAGGGTGAGACAATCACATAATTCTGCATTTTGAGTGAAGTGTTTCATGACTTTGCCATCCTAGGACCAAAAACACACACACATCAGAAGGGATTGAGATGTGGGTATACCCAATGCTGAAGGAATAATAAATAGGTATACTCTGTATACTGTGCAATACAGTACTGCATAAAAGCTGAAGAAAATCTACATCTATAATACTGTTTTTATGATAATGATAATTATATATTTATGCATTTTTCCACTCATGGCAGCTCTGTCATGCCTTTGCCATCCTAGGTATAAAAAAACTCCATACACATCAGAGGGGATTCAGATGTGGCTATACCCAATGCTGACTCAAAACCACCACTGCCTTTCGTATATCTTAAAAAATAGAAAATAAAAAAAATAAAAAGCTAAAGAAAATAAAAAATCTATAAATCCAGTTCTCACGATTCAGTATCAGCATTAAATAATGTAATAATAAATAAATATAAATGACTGGATCCAATATTGAACTGGTGACATACCAGGACTCACTGATCAACCAATGAAAACGTGGCTGCAAATAGCAACAGATGACGTCGCCCGCCCACTACGTGATTGGCGAAGGTGACGCGCAGGGCTGTTGCAACGTCAAACATCGTCCCCG